GACTGCAGGCAGAGAATGGTGAACTGCAAAATAAAAATGTTGCGTTGTACTCTGATAACGTGGAGCTTAGAGGGGGTAATGAAAGTCTTAAAAGTGTACTGTTTAAGGATGATAATGAGCGTGCGAAGTTAGCTGTTGAGTTGGAGAAAGTAAGGGGTGAACATGTGGTGGTTTTGAAAGAGTTGGCTGTTTCCAGGGATTCTTTTCTTTCTTTACAGAGTGAGAAGAAGGAAGTTGAAGATGAGTTAAATGACAAGATTAACTTTTTGGAAGGCGAAGTTGCCACTTTGAAAGCCATAAACTGTGAAGCAGAATATGCTGTTGCGATGGAGAAGAAACGCAAGTTAGAGGCGGTTTTAGAGGTTGAGAAGGAACGAGAACGATCAGCAGAACTTGTTGTTCTTTGTGATAAACTTAGTAGTGAAAGTAGGGCAGCTGATGATGAAATTGAGCGTCTACAACATGCTGTCTCTGATTACGAGGTTCGGTTAGATGTTGTAAGGCCTAACGTGGATGTCAAGAATAAATACATGGAGCGTGAGGGTTATACAGTTTACCCCATCTTGAATAAGGGACGAACAACTATAGGTAGGAGCGGAGTGCCGTTAGGTCTGTACCGTGACTAGTGTTTTTTTTTTTTTTTTAATGAAATGCCTTAAATAGTGAATATTTTGTGATTATGTAGTTAAACAGTTTATCGTTTTTTATTTATTTATTTATTTATTTTTAAAAAAAAGGAATTATCGTTTTTATGTGTTTCTTCTTTGTTTTGTTTTCTGCAGTGTACGGACATCGATGCATATATTTTTTTGACAGGTTATGAAATGAAATGGTTAATTCCTACATTATTTTGTACGATAATTGTTGTAATGGGAATATATATATGTGTGTTATTATTTTTTTGTTATTTCTATTTCTTCTTTTAGAAGGAAATAAGGAACATTACTATTTTCCCAAATGATATGTTTTTTTTTTCTGACTGATTAATTGTTTTCTTTCCTTTTCTTGTTTTATAGACGAGTAGCACTGTACAGTAAAAAAAAGTGGTCAGTAGCATATGGAAAGGAAATCGAATTCACTGTGCTCGGGACTGGAAAAGGCCATTACAAACTTTTTATATAATGGAGCCATTGGCCGATCTCAAGCATTGTCTATGGGACTGCAAATCCCACTCTGGTTTTGGACCCACCAGATTACTGTGGAGAGTGAACGTGAAAGCCGTGAGTTGCAGAAGGTTGTCAACATTATTCGTTGGTTTGATGAGAATGGTGCTAATGTAGGTCATGTGGCTATTATTGTTCCTGCTGAGATAAAGTCTAAACTACGTGCTCAACTACTGGATCGCTTTCATAGCGATAACACAGCTTTAGAGAGTGCTGTATCCGATGAGGTTCGACTTCCCACACTATTGAGTTTACACGAACTTACAGCAATGAATGCACGGGACAAGGTTGTACATCAATATGAGGTGGTTATTTATCTTATTGCACTTCCACCTACCAGTGACTCGTTACCGGCAATAATGCATCAGGAACAGTTTCTTTGTGATGCCATTGCTGGTGCGAAAGGTGCTTTTATTTTAATAGCGGATGTGGGATGGACTTCACCACACATAACTGTAGGTTGGCCTCAGTGGAAGACTTTTGTAATGAAATTTCAAGAGGAAACACCACTTGTTTCGTCAGAAGAATCGGATAAATTATCTGATAACGCTAAATTCTTATCATTGATTGGACATCGCATTCCATTGTGTTGCCCCAAGCATCTTAATCAACGACAATTGGAATATGGTATTGCACCTATATTGCGTTCTTGCAAGCGACTTTGTCTTCAATCTTTTATTTGTCAGCGGGAGGGTCATGTTTGTATGGATCCATGCCATCCGCGCGTATCACATATGAGTTGTCCCTATACATGCGAAACCCTTATGCCATGTGGACATGAATGTTTGCAAAGCTGTTCAGAGAGGTGTAATTGTTTTGAAGTTATTGAACATCCATTAGATTGTTCTCATGCTATTGTTATTGGTATAGATCAGGCTACTTTACAGCCTATATATGCTACAGTACGACACGTTTTTAAAGGATATTGCGCAGATATAGAACTTCCTTGTGCAGTTAAATTTGTCACAGAGTGTGCACGTTGTTTAGGTCCACTAACTACTACTTGTTCTGAAGCGACTCAACAGCATCATTCACTGGAGCACAAGACAATGCTTTGTCCAGGATGTGTTCGTCTTGAACGTGAGGTACGTGCGAAAATACTTGGTGAGATTCTTGTTCAAACAGAGGAAGCAAAACGTCGTATGAAAGTTGAAGTACAACGGAGTTTGCATCAACAACGTAAAGCTTCTTCACAAGGATTATTTCAGGAAGGTAGTCGAGTAACTATATGTGATATTACTAAAATTGTAAAACCTTTATGTGCAGATGCTGATTTTCCTGGAGTTCAATTTGTCGATTATGATGCACCAGATTTCTATTCTAGTATGGATGGTGCCTATGGTACTTTTGTTAGCCGACACGTAGATATTGATGATCTCAGTGAAGTACGTAATCTTATTCGACTACGTGACGGTCAGCATGTTTTGGTTGCCGATGGTGGAGTACGTCTTATTCGTGCTCTTACAAATGCTATTACACAGAAGGCCCCCACTTTACTTTTAACGTATAATGGGAACGGCCAATCTGGACAGACATCATCATCATCATTAGATAGTGCAGCCTTTGCTAAGTCGGTTAAAATGATTGGTCGGAATTATTATCTTGCTATTCCTGTACCACTGGGTGATACTACTATATCTGATAAGATTGTGCAGGTTGTATCGGTAGATCCGGCCACACCAGAGAATGTTGTTGTGGAATGTTGTCTCACAACTGTCTTTCCACATGCAGATGCCATGCGAGATGCTGCTAACACAGATGCAGAAACAGAAGCTGCATCTAAAAAACCTCGCCTTGAGGAACCACGATCGTCGTTATCACATCTACGTACTACTATTGAAACTGTAACCTTCACGGTTCCAGCTGCTTCTCTGGAGCCGATGGAGGGATATACAGTTGGTAAGGAGGTACTGGTACTGGAGCCAACTCGTCAAGTTACTAATCCACATGATGTAGAGGCATTTGAGGCCGTTCTCACTCAAACACCTGGACTGGATTTGCGAGGATCCACTGTGTCCACCGTTCCCATTGGTAGAGATACGCCCTTTGTTCTCTTGGGTGTTGTGAATTCCCCGACAAATCTTGAGAAGCGGTATGGGCCCTGTGCGGTGTTGCGGCGGCATGTGCGACTCACGACTGTGCGCAGTGGGCGGCGGGATCGAGGCGACGGCCGACATCCGTGCATGGCGCAGTACGTGTGCAGCAGCAGTGCGGAGGATGGCGTCGTGGTGTTGGTGCCGTTTGTCTTCACCGCCGCGGATGAGTTGTTGGAGGCGGAGAACTCACTCGACGCCGCCGCGCAGGAGCGGTTTGAGCAGCGGGTGCGGGAGACCATTGCGGAGCGCAGCGAGGAGTTGGCCATTCGCCACGACGAGGAGTCCTTCCATCAGCAGCGGCAGATGCCGGAGGTGACACCGGCGGTGCTCGCGGAGGATCGCACGGCGTACAGCACTCCCATTCCGCTGCCAACCGCGGAGTACATCGCCGGCGTGCGCACGAGACACGCACGGCTCTTGCGGGCTTCCACCACTTCACTGCGTCTCGCCAAGCAGAAGGACACTCTGGTGTCTAAACAGCAACAACTGGGACTCAATAAATGGATTGACGCCATGCATCTTCGACATGGACAGGATGAAGAGGCAAATGCAATGTACTTCAAGGGTTTACAGCGGAAAGCTGCTGGTGCTTCTGCTGGTGCTGCTGTTAAGTGAAAAGAGAAAACAGAAGATGTTGATGATGATGATCATGAAGGAGAAGCAGAGAGGGGAAAGGGGGGTGGAGAAAGAAAGAAAGAAAAAGAAAAACTTTGAATTCCAGGGTGTGATGAAAAATTGGATAGGGAAAGGGAAAAAATGGATTCCCTTGAGTACTACACCTGGACATGTTCAAAGGTGTAAACATTCTCATTGACCTCCTTCCCCCTCCCCTCTTTTATCATCATCTTCATCTACAAGAACAGTTATTACTACTACAATTATAATCACTATTATTATTACTATTATTGTGGTTTCTTGATAGGTAACATGTTTTTTATTTTTTATTTTTTCCTCTTCACTTCTGTGTTTCTTATTTTCTTTATTCTGAATGACTCTTCTTCTAAATTTGCGCTGCTTCTTTTTTTTTTTTTTTTCTTTTTTGGCATCTATACAAGGGACAGATTCAAACTCGATAAAGTGGTGGGGTGTCCGAAACCAAAAATAAAAGAAAACAAAATAAAAGAAGTTTTAGTGTAGTGTAGAAATTATATGGCTGACAACTATTTGAAGGATTCGGAGTGCCATATTCCAGAGAATTCTGCAAGTGGACCGCGGCGCAGTAGAATTCCACGTACTTCTGGTAAACCATCTAATGTACAGCAAGAGATTGTCTTTCAACAAGTTAATATTGACGGGTTGATAACGGAGGAACGTATACAGCATGAGAAACTTCGTGAGGCTAAAGAGATTGAAGTTGGTGTTGCTGAAATAAAAGAGGTGACGGATGAATTCGCTGCCTTGTTGGAACATCAGCAAGTGGGAATAGACGGACTCACTACAAATGTTAGCGCAGCTAATCAAAGGGTAAATGCTGGAAGGGACGAACTTTCATCTGCTGGCCGACATCAAAGTTGTTGCAGAAAAATGTTCTGTCTTGTGTTGCTTGCTTTGTCTGTATCTTTCTCTATAGTTCTTGTGGTTGTTTTAGTGAGTAAATGATGAGAGGTTGGTTCCTTATTTCTTCCTTTCTATTGTAATGTTTTTGTCATTCTTGGTTCCTCTTTTTTTTTTTTTTTTTGGTGATTACGGGTGTGTATATGCATCCCCTATATATATATATATATATATATATATGTTTATCTGTGTGTATGTGTATGTTTGCTGTTCGTTCATTATTTTTTCCTTTTTTTACTTATTCTTGTTTACTTTTATCGGCAAG